AGCTTGAGGTAGCTGTGAGCTGTGATGCCATGACACTCAACCCCAGGGCAACTGAATGAGACCGTGTCTCAAAAAATTAATTAATTAATCAATCAATAAATTAAAGTATGCAGTATGTGACCTCTTGTCTTCTTTAAAATATTTTCAATTGATTTTCATATTAATGTAATATATTAAAAGTTCATCTATGTACTTTATACAAACATTGCATTTCTTTTTTTTCACATTTTTTATTTTTTAATTTTTTTTAATTTATTGTTGAGGATTCATTGAGGGTACAAGAAACCAGGTTTCACTCATTGCACTTGTTAGGTAAACTCCCTCTTACAACTGTGTCCTGCCCCCAAAAGACGTGGAACACACCAAGACCCTACCCCCTCCCTCCTTCCCTCTCTTTGCTATTCCCTTCCTCACCCCTCCCTCCTTTTTCTTCTCTCTGCTCTCCCCTTCCCCTACCACACTGTGTCATTAATTGTCCTCATATCAAAGTTGAGTACATAGGATTCATACTTCTTGTGATATTTAATTATGAGAATATACCACCATTTCTTTATTTATTGTGTTATATCTGTGGGGAGGTGAGTATACCAAATGTTTTGTTATTGAAGAGAGGCCTGTATGGACATTATTTACAGAGTATTAGCAATAAATGGTTGTTGTTGGAAGAGTGTATGTCTGTCTGTATTGGACTCACCCAATTGTTTATTATCCATATGTTTGCCTTAAGTATATACTGATAAACCTTTTTTTTCTGAAACATTATAGAACAAAATTATTATACTCATTTATAGCACTATAATAGTTTTCTTACCCTTTTTCATTGATACAGAACATTTGTACACATTTTTGAGGGAGTTACGATATTTTGATACATGTATATCATGTATAATGAACAAATCAGGGTAAGAAGATAGCCATCACCTTGAATCTTTGTCATTTCTTTGTGGTAGGTATATTTAAAAACGTCTTCTTTAGCTATTTTGAAATATGCGATATGTTGTAACTATAGTCACTTTATTGTAATACAAACACTAGAACCTTGGTTGTTGGGATGGGGATAAAAAGAGGTTGATTATTGAGTACAAACATGAAGATAGAAGGAATAAGTTCTAGTGCCGCAGTTTTTGAATGTTATAGTTGCTCCCTATCATTACTAGTATTTTGCATCATCAATCTATGATTTTCTTTCATGTGTGCTGTAAGATCACATTGGGAATTTAATTTAAACATTTTTAATCTTGCCAAGAATAAGAAGTAACGTATATTCCTTCTCATATTCTGTTGACCTAAACCATACCATATCCTGACAAATAGGAACAGGAGTGAAGAGAAATACAATGTCCACATGAGAGGATATGATGTGAACTTAGTCTACAGGGAGCTGGAGGTAGAGAAGAGTCTAGAATGGGAACAAAGACAGTTGTGATCCATACTGTTGATGGTTAAAGTCTTTGTATAGTGCAGTGCTCCTGGTAAAGAATATAACACACACTCTATACTATAAAGTAGTTCTAGTACCTTTGAAAAGATGCCATGCATCAAAATAACAAGAGTAGAGACTATAACTCTGATGTATGTTACCAGAACTGTAGAAAATACCAAAGGCCTTAATAGAAGATGGTCACATTCGATATTGAGGTTCAGATTTGGGGAGGAGATAACTAATTAATTGAGATGGCCTTTGGAAAATGGATATTCTTTAACATGGGATCATTTTCTATGAAGGGCATTTCTGAAATAACAATTTTGGTAAAAGCATCAAAGAATAACAAAGGAGTGCATGCTGTTCAACAAAACACAATAAGATATGGAACTCAGGAGGTAGGAAAGCACATGTTTTGATGTAGAAATAAAAGCTAAAAATATGTAACACTTGGATAAGAGGAATAAATATAGTAGACAGCAAATAAACTTTACAGTCAGTCACACATAGGTTTCAATGCCAGCTTTTCCACTACTATGATATGATACTGGGAAAGTTATTCACCAATGGACATTTTAAGCAATTAAATAAAATAAGTGGAAGTTAGAGCTTATAGCTGAGGCTGGTTATAAATAGCATGTTCTCTTCAATTCCTTATTTTGTCTCTTACATCATTAAAATTCTCGATCCATATGAATATTTTCAGTGACTTTATTTTGTTAATGTATTTATTTCTGTACCATAGTATATATACTAAATTCAAGAGTAAAGAGAAAACTGTAAATAATGCTGGCCTAATTTTTATACTACCATGCACGACAGTACTTTCTGAGCTAGATAAATATACACTTTGTATTGTTCTCTGTCATTAATAGTAATGTGTTCAAAACAAATATAGATTAATAATAAATAACTATAATGCTTTGTGATCTCTAATAAGTTGAAGATATACTATTGAACTTGATATGACTTCCCTCTACCACAGCATGATGGCAGGAAAAAGAAGGTAGAGTGTCTCATTCTTGTCCTTCAGCTGAGAATTTGAACTTTGGCAATTCAAATGATTTACTTCTCTGTGAATGTCTAGTAACAGCTGTGAAAGCACTGTGGGTGTTGACTTTGGTATTATAAATAAATTTTAGTGTGTGCGCAAAGTCACAAATATGGAATCTGTGAATAATAATTGCTTAGATATACATATATGTATATAAATACAAATATATACAATACTTATACACACACATATATATGTATGGGTATATATTATTCATATGTATACACATACATATACACACAATAAATTAAGAAATAGATAATTTTTAATTGTGAGTTATCAATTAAATTATTAATATGAAAGCAGCATATTTTGATCTGACAGTTTATTTATTTATTTATTTATTTATTTATTTATTGTGACGGAGCCTCAAGCTGTTCCCCTGGGTAGAATGCTGTGGCATCACAGCTCACAGCAACCTCCAACTCCTGGGCTCAAGCGAGTCTCCCTCCACCTTCCAAGTAGCTGGGACCATAGGCGCCCGCCACAATGCCCAGCTATTTTTTGGTTGCAGCCATCATTGTTGTTTGGTGGGCTAGGGCTGGATTCGAACCTAAAGTGTATGTGGCTGGCACCTTAGCTACTTGAGCCACAGGCGCCGAACCAATCTGACAATTTATTAATTAGATTTATTCAAAGCTTTTCTTTTCCATAATTACTCATGAGCTCATTTCAGCCTAATGTGACTTTCAAATGGTTTTTGTAGAAAAGCAATTGAGGAAGAAACTCATGATACTTTTTATTTAAAAGCTTGAATATTGGAAATTTTACTCTTTTCTTAAAACACTGAAGTAGAGAAACTGAAAATAAAACTTAAGAAGAAATACTATTGATGAAAAAAGCAACTTATGCAAATTAACATGTTTCAACTCTCACTTGATTTCTGAACAAAAGGATAAGGCTACTGCCCTTGGAAAACTCCGTTAGTTATTGTGAATCCCGAGTCATAATTGAATTATATATTAAACAAAGGCTTAACATAAGCTTCAATGTTTCTGTGTGACAGGGCTCATTATATAACATTAATCAATATATCATTTGAATGAAAATATCTTCTACCTTTTATTTCTCAATTTGTCTAACAGCAAGAAAAAAATACATTACATGCTTCAAGACTATAGCTGATAAGAGCTAATTAGCAATGATTTGCAAGGAGGATGTTTAAAAAGTGGGTTGGGAGGAGGCAAGAACTCTCACTGGAGAGACAGGTATTCTAGAATAAAGAAGTAGCATAACAGGGAGCTAAAAAAAAATTTAATAGACAATAGACAAAGGAAGAGAAGTGCAATCCATCTAAGCAATGAGCAGGGACATGTCAAAAACATGAGCACTGAAACTCTAATCAACAAAATAATAAATGTATGTTCAGGAATATTTTGAGTATTAAATCAACAAAATATAATCCAAAAGGCAATAAACCCAAGATTAGTATCCAAAATTAAATATTTTCACATTCTTGACCATTGTTAAATCAATGTGCAACAACTTTTTTCTACTCACCTGAAAAGCCAACTGCACTGCAGCTCTGCTGATAACTGATAACTCTTCTGTCCTACTTAAGAATAGCCAGTACATATCCATGCTGATGTGACAATGTAAAAAAAATCTTGAGGCTGATAAATGCTTTTTAATTTTTGTGCTTTCAATGAGAAAAGACCAAGACTGTGAGATTTGATGATTAAGTCCGCTTTTTTTACACTTGCAATTGAAAAATGAAATATATGTTCAAAATATTTACAATACTTCAATTTATCCCCAATTTGGCTAGTCTTACTAAATATCTTTTTGTCTCAGCAGTCTTTTCTGTAAAATGAAGAAGTTGATCAAATTGTCCTACAAATTTCATGTACGCTGACACAAAGATGAAAAGCAATTGCCAGGTCTTGAGGACATTCTAAATTATTCTGTATTCTCTACTGTGTACAAATGTGTGAATTTGGGAGTAAGAGGTAGGATGTATAGAAATGTTGTAACTGGTTCAGAGTTGTTACTTATCAAATGTTTTGCATTCAACATTTGATTCAATCTAACAACATTACACTTTCTCTTAGATGAGACAGAATGGGAGTGGTATTGCTCTGTAAAAGTAGAAAAGAACTTTACAAGTACTATGACCTTAATAAACTAAATTCATGACATAAATAAAAATATATAAAAACTACCTGTTCATGCATAGTAAACATCCAGACTTAACAACAGTTTATGCAAAAACAAAATAACACATTGAGAATTCAAAAGGAATGGATTATATGTAACTTTAGTCATTTCCTACACAAGTGTTCACTGGCATAATACTAAACATAGTTCACTTTATTTAACATTACACTTCATTATAAAATGAGAAAATAAGGTAATTGAAAGTTTTTCTGTCTAATTCTCTGAATTGGGAGAACTAAAGCAGAAAATGAATATAAATATACTTTAATCAGTGAAGTTATTAAATAAAATTAGTGATTATTGTTACAAATTATTTATCTGTTAGGAATTACTCTTGAAACTACTACTTATCTTCCCTAGATTCATTTATCTACAGGATTTCTTAGTGAACCACTTCTGGATTCTGTCTCGGATTTGCTGGGTCTTGACACTATAAATGATGGGGTTCATCAGAGGTGGGAAGATAATGTAAATGTTGCCCATGAGGACATGGACCACAGGAGAGAGGTGCTTCCCAAAGCGGTGCACCATGCTCAGACCAATGATTGGGATGTAGAAAACCAGGACAGCACTGATGTGGGAGACACAGGTCTGCAAGGTCTTCAGTCGCTCCTCCCGGGATGCAATAACCAAAACAGTGCGCAGGATCAGAATGTAGGATATGAGAATTAACACAGAATCACACAAAAGTGTACAAATCAACAAAGCCAAGGCATAGAAACTGTTGAAGCGGATGTCAGAGCAGGCTAATCTCAGTAGGTCTTGGTGTAGACAAAAAGAATGAGAGAGGACACAGGAGTGGCAGTAATGAAAAAATTTTAGGCGGACTATGGGAGCAATGATGAACACAAAACTCCTAACTAAAATCCCCAGCCCAATTTTGATGATCCTGGCACTGGTTAGTATAGATGTATACCTCAGAGGGTTACAGATTGCTGTAAAACGATCAAAAGCCATGGCAAGAAGGACTCCAGACTCCATGAATGATAGACCATGAATAAAGAAGGCCTGAGCCATACAGGCATCCAGACTAATCTCCCGGCTGAGGCCCCATAGGATCCCCAACACAGTGTGTACTGTGGACAGCCCCATGCACAGGTCGGTGAGAGCCAGCATGGCCAGGAAGTAGAACATGGGCTTATGCAGGCTAGGTTCTGTTCGGATCACTTGCAGCACCAGGCAGTTCCCAGAGAGTACAATCGCATAGACACAGGAGAAAGGGATGGAGAGCCAAGGGTAATCCTTTTCCAGACCAGAAAAAGCCGTAAGAAGAAAGGTGGAGCTATTGATTTTGGAAGCAGGTTGAACAGACATCTGTCACCAAAGATAGACTATTCTGTGGGAAAAATGTAACAGTTAATTGAGATTCATGTTTGAAAAGTATGAAGTAATGATTATCCCAAGACTGATCAGGTTAGTACAATTGTTTATTAGATGTGAAGCTACTCTTTGTATTTTTTTCAGAAGCCAAATTTTCTCTGTGCATTTACTAAGTTATGCCTTTATAGAACATATCCTTGTTATTAAAACTTTGATTTCACCAGTTAATCAGTGTCCATATCCTGAATAATACTATCACTTCTCACCTCAGTACTTCATATCATTAATATAAGAGAAAAGTGATTGTTGTTTTATGATGCTCCAATAACAAACTTTGAGAATAGAAAGCAGAAAAGAAAATCACATTTGGCTGTTCATGTTGGAAGTTTGGTGAAATAAATTCCAAATTGGTCGTTTGTGTGTAAAATTAATGTGTGGTTATCATAGAAGATACTAAGTCATTTGTAGAAGTCATTTTGCAGTCATGTTGACATCTGTTTAATAAAAAAGTGTCACACATGATAGTTATGTTCTTACCAATATTACGCCCACAACCAACCCGGCCATATGAGATTTCTGTCTCAGTTTCTGAAAAGTATGCTTGCATAACTCATGATAGTTATGTTCTTACCAATCTTGAAAATGGATCTCGCTCTTCTTTCTTTTGTCACAGGCATTCTGAGATTGTAGGAGAGGTGAGATTTATGCAGGTTCAAGAATGATGTTAGCCAGTGGAGTAAATTCTGAATCCTGTGAGATGCTGAGAATAAGTGATGCAACACTTAGGATGACTGTTCCTTGGAGAGAATCAGAGAAATTCCCTGGGCACTTTCCTCATGGTCAACTTTTCCATCTATCAGGTTTTGGATATTGCTACAAGTGTGTGTTTGCAGAAATAACTGTTTCATCCAAGGACACCAGAAAATAAGCTTTGGACAGAGAGATCTAGAAATCTCTGTTAATTTACTTCTCTCTGAGTATTTGTCACATTACATTTGAAGGTTGTCAAATATATCCTATAGAAGTTATTATTTGCGGTAAATATGAAATTTGTTTTTATTTCTCTTAATTCAGATATAAGATGTCCTCCCATTTTTGGAAAACATAGCCTAAATATACAAAAAACATTTATCAGTTATTCAAGATAAAACATTGTTTAGAAGTCATATGGTTTTATATTAAGTTTATAATCCTTATAAACTACTTCAAATCAGATGCTCTATTTTGATAATAAAAATATTTATGGATCATTCCTTTTATTTTGGCAGGCAATAGAATATAAAGAACATGCTTATAAAGTCAGACTTTCTGAGTTAGATGTCCTTCATCAACTGTTGCCATTAGGGTCTCATGGAGAAGCTGTGCCACAGAGCATAAACCTACATATTGAAATTGTATATTTAAATAAAGGGTTTCACAGCTCTCTCAGGCATGTGACAACTTCTTTATTTATTCATAAACAGCCAGGGACCACTGCTCTCTCGTGGGCGAGTAGCAAGTTGATTTCTTTACTCTTGGTTTAAGTAGTTAGCTCTGCACATGCACACTGTACCTCATTAATATTCATTACAATACCTCTGCAGATGCAGACTGTACATCAATGACCTCATTAATATTCACTACAATCCATAAATCACCTCATGAATAAACATATTGTGACTATCTTGTGGGTAGCTCCTCCCTAGTAATCTATGGTTTAACTGATATCACTTTATATAACAAAATCCTTTTAACATAACTTAGTGGAGGACATGTTGTCAGTTGTTACTTCTTTTGTTTTTATCTGATGAAGACTGAGGCTTGGAGGCAGAAAGTGGATTGAATACCTGCCCTGCTGGCCTCACCATTTGGAGGCAGTTACTTCAATTTTAAGCAAAGCATAATTAAGAAATTTCTAAGACATACAGAAAACTAGTTTGCAAGCCTCCACTCCCATGTGAGCCTTAAGTCAGGAAGTCAGGGGGGTTTTTGCCCACAACCAATCTGGCCACATGGGATTCTGCCTCAGGTTCTCACAAGTATGCTTGCACAAACTCTTTTCACTGCTCTCTCTCAAACAGCTTTTTTGGCCAGAGGTATATAGGCCTTTCGCCTATAATCAACTATTGTAAGCAATGTGCCCTTGTACAAGATACTTAACCTTACATAAGTTTTCTTATCAAAAGTTAGGATAATACCATTACCTGTTTCTTAGGACTATCCTAAAAATAAATTTAGATAGATAGTTAAAGTATTTGGAAGAGTGAAGAACATATGGCAAATATGAAAGTAAATTGTTATTATTTCCATTTTCAAAATGTAGAAACTCAGGTTTACATCTGCATTATTCAACATGATACCCCATGAGACAAGTAATAAAGTGATTCTTGAGCACCTGAAATATGGCAAGTCCAGATTGATGAGTTATGTGAATACAAAATACATTCATGATCAAAGACTTAGTAGAGAAAAAAAAATTTAAATGTCTCTTAATTAGTGCTTACCTTGATTACTTGTTTACATGCTATTTTAAATGTATTAGGTTAAGAAAAATATTAAAACTAATTTTACTTTGTCTTTTTTGTATGTAGAGCCTTTAAAACAACTAAGTGTCTTCAATTGCACTTCTTTTAGGTAACAATGGTCTGAAAATAGATTCTTGAACATTTTTACAAGACTACACAGATATAGTGGTGTTAGTATAATTCCAAATTCTATTTTGAATCTTCCAACTTTTCAATATCCCCATCCCAGAAAACAACTTCAAGGAATATATTATTGAGGATATTAAAATCATCCAACTTGATCATCCACAGTGTGTGGAAATAAAGTTTAGGAAGACCATGGAGAAACTTTGAGTTATTTCAAGATTGAGAGCATGAAAATCTATTACAAATACCTAGAAATACTGGACAGATTAATTAAAAACCTTTTATTTAATTGTCAGCAGTGAAGATTTAAAGGAAGAATAAAACCCACAGGCTACAAGCCAGAATTGACATTGAGTTTGTTTTGAATATAATTGCTTATTGATCTTGGTAGTACAAGAATTTCTGTTCCAATCAGCTCAGTGGCTCACACTTGTAATCCCAGCAATTGGGAAGCTGAGGTGGGTGGATTTTCTGAGCTCACAGGTTTGAGACCAGGCTGAGCTACAGTGTGACCACATCTCTAAAAATAGTGGGGCATTGTGGCTGGGAAGTGTAGTTCTGGCTACTTGGGAGGCTGAAGCAAGAGAAGTGCTTAAGCCGGAAAGTGTGAGTGAAGTTGCTGTGAGCTATGACACCATAGCACTCTACCAAGGGTGACAAAGTGAGACACTGTCTAAAACAAAACAAAACCAAACAAAAAGAATTTCCCTTCCTCTACATAGTTAGATAACAGAGTCAAGACATTGGAAAATTGTAACTGAGTCCCAGTATAAAACTGAAATATTGAATGGATATAATTCAGAAAAATGAGGGACATCAAAAAATTACCTTTTTCCTGGGGAAAAAATAACTAGAATTTTTTTTTTAATGTTTATGATTCATTAAGAGTTTGAAGAAGTAGGTTACATTGATTGTGGTTTTTAGGTAAAGTCCCTCTTGTAACTGTGTCCCACCCCCAAAAGATGTAGCATAACCATAATCCCCCATCCCCTTCCCTGCTCCTCTGACCCCATCCCTCACTCCCCTAACTCCTCTCCTTGTATTAGATCATTTATTGACTTCAAATTAGAAATGAGTACATTACATTCTTGTTTCTCTATTCTTGTGAGGCTTTAAGAAGAATGTGTTCCACCTCTGTCCAGGTTGACACAAAAGATGAAAAGTTTTCATCTTTTTTAATGGCTGCACAGTATTCCATGGTATACATATTGCATAGCTTGTTAAGTCATTCCTGGGTTGGTGAGCATTTAGGTAGTTTCCATATTTTGGCAATTGCAAATTGAGCTACGAAAATAGTCAGTGCAAATATCCTTATGGTATCCTTATGGTAAAGGAATGTTTTTCTTCTGGGTGTAGCCTAATAATGGGATTATAGGATCAAATGAGGATTCTCCAATTTCCTTCCAAAAACGTTGTATTAGTTTGCAGTCCTATCCCAGCAGTGTAAAAGTGTTCCCTTCTCTCCTTGTCCATGCCAGCACTGGCAGCAAAATCCAAATCAAAACCTCCCTGAGATATCACCTAATCCCACTGAGAATAGCGCACATCAATAACTAGACTTTTGAAAAGAGTCTAACTAAAAAATTCTTCATTATATATAGCCTGAGGACTTTAAGGACTAGAAGCAATCACTGTGATGAAGTTTTCAAAGACCCATTGTAAGGACTTTCTCACTGATGTACCTTCATTAGGACTGGGAGGCCAGTCGCAAAGGAGGTAGACTCTGCAGGCAGAATCTGTACATCTGAGGAATTTCCTGGGAGGGCTTTGAAAGCAGAAAAACAGAGACTGTTGCTTGGCCTTGAGGTCACCAGAAACCTTTACCCTCCAAACTTGGCATCTTGTTTTATAGTATTGTTAATTTTTACTTTATAGTTAGAAAATCTTATGCATGTATTTGTTAGACTTAATGACACCAGATGGCGTTCTTGAGAAGTCAGTAGATTATAAATTAACTATTTGTATGTGCTATGTGACAGTAAGGATCCCACATATAAACATGAAAGAAATTAAGATTTCTTGCTACATTCCTGAGCGAGCAGTAGCCACCCTACTCTTCAGAGACATTCTGACCACTAGTTTATCTCTGCATCTCTGGCCTAAAGAATTTTATAGCAACGATTATATTTTTCTCACACTATTATCCCAATTTCTTATTCCTTGGCAATTTTTAAAAGGTGTATACCTTGTGAGAGAAGAAGAAACAAGGATAAATCAAAGAAAACTTAAAGTACTTAATATAGAGGGTTGTTTTTCCCCTCATATATTAAACGTTTTGGAATCAGGGTCACATACTCTGCATATTTAGCTGTGAAAGAACTATTCCAAGGAAGCTTGTAATTAATGTGCACCAAGTGTTCACAG